TTAACTTGATTAAGTTGTCTCCTTCTTGGATTTCTCTTTTTTATACTTGTGACTGTATAAAAATAAACAGGATGATAATCTTGGATGTCACATGGCAGAGCAGTAGCTGTGTTGTGAGTGTCTAAGTAATGAATTAACTCAGCCCAGGACAAGAGGTTACTGAATAACCTTTGCCTACTGTAGATGGCAAAGGTTTTTTAGGACTTACAGCCTCTTAATGTGAGGCGAAGCCTAAACAAATTGGTCACGTTTGAATGAAAAAGTCTCCAAATTCTCATGTCCAGACTATACAATGAGATAGCACAGAAAGTCAGATGTGAGGCATCCTCCTTATCACGGGTAGCATGAATTTTCTCCAACTAAGGATGTCTTCCCTCTTGTCTTTATCTAGTTTAGAAATACTTTATCTGACTCCTTGTTGTGTGTCCTTAATGGATTGTAGGACTGTACTGGGGGGAGGAAGGGGGCTTCAAAAAAAGGAAGCCCTCAGGAGAGGTTTCTATTTTAAGTTTGAAACTGATTGTGCAGAAATGGCACCTTCCTTTTAGATAAGTATGTTCTGTGAAACTCACTCTCTTCAATAATTCCTAGGCATTGCAATGGTAGTCCTGTTAACCCCACAGAGTTATGGCAGGGTAATTTTCTGTGCAGGTATCAACATCACTGATGAGCTTCAAACAAAATGGCACATTCTGCTTTCACGCTGTACTAATCACAGTGGAGGCTGGAGGTCAGTACAAACTTACATCATAGCTGATATTGGAAAGAAAAGGGCAGTACACAATTTTTATTACGGAAAATAATAAGGAAAAAGGAATGCAACAACATAACCTTGTCATTCCTTTTCGGTTTGGCCCGATTACAGGCTGGGGAGCCTTTAAGAGGCCCGCTTGCTGAGCAAAGCTAACCTGATTTTGGAGAAGGGGTGGAGAAGAATACAGATGTATTTCTACAAGGTTACTTTTCAGTGGACATCTGATCCTGCAGGACTGCTGTGAGACCACAGACTCCCATATTAGAACTCTCTTAATTTTTTCACTTTTTGTTGTAATGATAGTGATCTGCCAAAGAGGCAAGCACCATTACGTATCTGTTCCTGTAATGGGACCTATAGCCTGATATTCCCATCCTGTGTAGAGAATTTTTTGTACTTCAGACAGGGTTCCACTAAAACCTGCCCATGGAGTGAAGGACTGCCAGTTCTCTGGCAGACAGTGGGAAAAATCTGAAGGAAGCCTGTATTAAAAACTTAATCCTCCCAGGTTTTAGCCATGCCAACAGTGCAGACCAGCCATGGGATTCACAAGCTGCTTCTAGTGATTGGAATCCAACCTCCTGTGTTTTTTCAAAATAAGGAGACAGGGATCTGTCATTACACACAGGTGCTAGAGACACTGCTGTGACTGCTGCCATTTTAGCTCCGTGCTCACAAGGCTCCTCAGATGCCTGGGGTGCAGATTGGCCTCAGGGCTTTCCCTGCCTGCCCCATCTCTGCAGGCTGCTGTAATGAGTGGGCTACTGAGCTGGTTGAACCCATCCTGTGGATGGTGAGGGAGGTCTGGAGAGGGAGGTGAGGCCAGGCTGTTGATCCAAAGACCATAAAAAGAGAGCAGGTGATGTTCTAACTAGGACATACTCTGAGCCAGGAAATCCAAATTCCCGTCTAGGGCTACTTTTAATCTATTGCCTGTTGGAAGTAAACATCATGGTAGGTGCTAAGGTAAGGTTTACTATCTGATGTTTAGCAACAAAAAGAAATAGAAAAATACTCTTTAGGATTACACTTGATAGGAAAAAATACTTTTGTATGCATTAGAAAGGTACTTGATAGAAGAAATAAGAATTTATGATCTATTTGCCAGTCTAAGGAGGTCGGGGCAAATAAAATTTGTGTTTTTGCTGTGGTATTTTTGGAACCTTTGTTGTAGATGGGGGCTTTTTGTAATTTTTTTGTGTTTTAAATATAATGCACCAGCTGGAAATGCATGCTGTCATTTTTTGGTTTGGGCTGTAGGTAGCTGACGCCATTTTTAGTTTTATACTTTCCTACCTCAAGAGCCACCTTCTTTGGTTCCCTCGGTCAGATGTGCAGTTACAGAGCTGTCCCTGTTCCCAGCAAAGTCAGCGACTTGCTGTCAATAGTCAATGGGACAGGCAGGTCCTAATTGCCAGGAGCAGTTAATATTTAACCTTTTTGTGGACTCTGACTTGGCTTTACTGTTCCAACCCACTGGGAGTGGCTGCTTGGGGAAGAAGTTTGGTACTAAAACACCACTGAAAGTCTCCATTGACCAGAGGATCAGATCAGACCCTGCTCTCATACAATCTCTAGAGATGCTGGAGAGAGATCCAGAGCTAACAGGCCTTCTGAATGTGGTAATCTCCCAAAATGGTGCATACTCTAACCTTCACTGTGGGACAAAGGTTTTTAAACCTATGGTGTTTTATAAGGCTGTCTGCTTGTGTTCTATCTGCATCTGGCTTTGGCAGAGGACAGGCTGATGTAGACAAGCTGGAGTTTGATGTATCAGTATGTAAAAAACCATTCAGAGGATGGATGGATGGGCGCGGGCACTGGTAAGATTCAGGAAATCCTCTTTCATTCCTACGCAGAGCTTTGTATCTCGACCACCATTAGGATACAGAGACGTAGAGTAGGAAGTTCCCTTGTGTATCTGCTGCTAGGGTTGCTAAAAATTTCCTAGGCCAAGGTGGAGAGGCCCGAGGCTCTTAGTGTTAACCAGGCTCAGCAGTCACTCAGATGTGAACCATGAAGCACCGTGGCAGTGACCAGGAGATGTGCTGCCTCTGTCCCTGTCAGCACTAATCTGCTGTGAAGGGAGGCTGAAGGTGTTTGGGGATCTATTTTATGCCACCTTTGCAGGTTTGTTGGGTTTCTTTTGAGGGGGGTAAGGATGAAGGCAAGGTGCAAATTGAGATCAAACTTTCCATTAGGCTAAATCAGCTATGTTAAGATGGATTTGAGTGACAGCAGAAATGGACAGATGTTGCCAAGGAGCTTTTGACACTTGCTGCAGATGTGCCAAGCATGTGGCAGAAATATGCAAAAAGTTCATTGTAATACAAGTACTGTCATCTGCTGCCTGGTCCCCTTGCATTGCTGTGTTACTTAGCTGCCTCATTAGGTGGGGAGTAGGCCTAATTACTGACTTGTTTGTCAAGTGACAAGTCAGGCTAATTAGTTGTGTGGGCAGAGGATTGGTTTCAAGCTCATCAGGAGGGCATCCTCATCCTTTCCTCAATCATATGCACCCAGCATCAGGGTTTGGCACAGGAGTTTGTTTGTGGGCTCTTCTCTAGAGCTTATGGACAGAAAATCTGGGTTAAATGGGGCACTGAGAGAATCTTTTTTTAGCCTGTCACACTGGGGTCGTGAATTGCAGCAGCGCAACTGGCACTTTTGCAGGGCGTAAGGAACACTTCCTTCTCACCCTGCAGGGTATGTGGCGGGAGTGGGCGTGCAGCGATGATCGAGTCACCGAGTGAAGTGGCAGGGCTGTGTGGCTGATTTACAAATACCAGTGTTCTTTATTTACACAGACATGTAAACAACAGAAGGTAAACAACACCGCCCAGCTCGGTCTAACAAACAGGCTGCTGCTGTTTCACTTCGGGACCTGAGGTGTTTTAGACATTTCACAGAAACTGTATTGACAGCAAACACAGGAAGGCTACGAGGTTACCTTGACTCTTTCTTCTTTGCATGGGAATCGCATGCACGGTGCGGCAGCGCGGGGGAATGCCACCACCTGAGGCCGCAAAACAAGGGTATGCAAAGAACCCACTCAGAGCTTGCCTTAAGTTCAGGTCTGGCTGGAGTTAGCAGTATTTGTGAGCAGTACCACTGCAACCACTCTGTCCTCTGAGAGCACTTTCCACCCAGAGAGCTGAAAGCACTCTGCAAACAGACTGATCAATCTTCATGGCATCCTTTGCAAATCATCCCGTTTATGTACAAGAAAATAAAGCGAGGGCCTTCAAAGAGCGACTTTCCCAGAGCTCAGGTTTCACTGGTCTCGCTTCCCAACCTTGTGCCTTAAGTATAGCACCATTCTTTCTTCACAGAAGTATATAGCTTCTTGACATTTTAGGACAAGCTTTTGAATTCAAAGAAATGCCCCAAACACTGGAGGTAGGAGGGCAGTGGACGGTCCCAGTCATGACCAGAAGCTGTTCTGCTCCAAAAGCTGCCCCTGCTGAAAGAGGAGCCCGCTACTGTGCGACACATTGCACCCAACCCCAGGCTTTTTCAAGTTTGTCTGAAAACGGAACTAAGGGAAACATTAGCTGCAAAAGAAAAACTATTTGAAAACAACAGTGCTGATCTTGCTGGTCTTGCAGATTTAACTGCAACAGTAACCCATACACACACTGTGTTTTAGGTAGCTGAAATACTTCTAGCAGAAATGTTACATTAAATTTGTAAGACAGAAAAATACCTAGTGGAGTTCGGGAAGTTTGCTGCTTTGTGCCAAGGAACAAATTTCCTTATAGTTTAGCAGCAAAAGAATCAATGTGGGCTTGAACAGCATTGAATTATCAGCTGTAAATTCACATTTTGGTTACAGACACACTTCCTAAATAAAAAAAAATATAATAAAATAACTTCCCCCAGATTAACTGGTATCGGATATGTTGTTTTGTTTTGTTTGTTTTTCTGGTTTAGGTTTGCTGGGGTTTTTTTTCTGTTGTGGAGTGAAAACCATGGCTTGAACCCAAAACCAGTTTCAGCCTTTATACCTGTTTTCTAACATGAATTGCAAGTTTCATGGGCTCAGCTTGTACGCTAGATCAAATTCAAGCATGTGAGAATTGCTGCTAAAAAAGCAGCTGGGAAGTTGTGTTTGAGCACAGCATTTAAATACTCAGCTGCCTTCTCTCATGCACATTATGCAGCAAGTAGTTTAACTTCTATCCTCCCAGTCAGAATTGCAGCCCTATCTTCAGTTATCATAGGAAAGGAGATGAATCAACACAACTGTAAGATACACCATTTACAGCTGCCAGCACAGCAGCAGGTAAGATAAAGACAGAAAAAGAGGACTGTTTTTCTTAAATAGGCATTCCTGCAATCCTTTCAAACCCCCAGGTGAAAAGGAAACCTAAGAAATTCTCCTTAAATAAAAGCTATGTACAAATTGCACACATTGCAAATGGAGCACTGAGATCAGTTACAGAAAATAAGATGTACAGTCTTCACTGATAACATCTCTCTTGCTATAAACAGTGATAAACAGCATATGCTTTCTTCAGATGTCAGAACCCAGCAAGACAGCAATATTATGTACACAGGGCTTGTTTGCCTTCTGCCTCCCACAGCAGAGTCCCTCCAAACTCTGTTTTCACTTCAGAAAGCTGTGCAGTGACGTTCCTGCGCACCGTGCCGCTCCTGCTCGGCAAATCACAAGAGAGCTGTCATTGCTGTCTGGCTTATGGGCTTTAGGCAGTCCCTGGGCGTGGAGTAACCCTCACCCCCAAGAGCAGTTTGCTGGGGCTTCTGGTAGTCTGTGCTGTAGCTCACCGAGGTCAGAACACCATTAACTTTGGGTTTATCGTAGTTTATGACACTCTGGGGTGTCTGATAGTCTCCGTTCCTGGTGTCGGTTTTACATGAACTGGAGAAGCTGCCAGCAGGAAGGGAATGTATCTGAGAGGAGGCGACAGGAACGTTGTAGCCATTCTCAGAGGGGAAATTACTTTCTCTTGCTATGTGCCGTTCTATGATGGGGGTGGCGTACTCCGGCTCTTGGCTGGTCAGGGGCAGAGCATATTCGTGCCTGTTAGCTCTGTGAGGGCAGTGATAGTGATTTTCGAACTCACAACTCCCCCTTCTTCCCTCCTCCTTGGTGTCCATGGGGCGAAAAGTAGATCCTTTACGTGTTACCGTCCCAGTCCCAATCATGAGAGGCTGCTGATAATCTAAAAGAAAGCATGAAATAAGGCATAGATTGGTTATCATATATATATATATATATATATATATATATATATATATATATATATATATATATATATATATATATATATATATATATATATATATATATATATATATATATATATATATATATATTACTTAAGCATAGATAGGTATTTTATGTTGAAAAACTACACTGTTATTTTATGAAATGCATGGTTATTGGGGACGTGGGGAAACCTTTCCCCAACACCGATCCTTCAACTTCCTTCAGACAGCAAGAGTTGCACAACATGGCAGAAGCTCTTCCACAGAGAAGCTCCAATCTGCCACATTTTTTCCTCCTCCCTCCCTCCCTTTCCCTACCTACCCTCTCCCAAATCAACTAACATTTCTGGAGTATACTTGAAAGACCTAAAAAAAAGAGTGAGATCAACAAAGTATTAGCAACAAACTGGACAAAGGACACTTCAGGAAGATCCACAAGCCAGAAGTTCTCCAAAGTGAGTGTTCCACTTTCGGAATAATTAAAATGCCCAGAGGATTCTTAACGAGCCGGCTTTATTTAAAAGGCATCTCACAGTAGCTGACTGACAAGAAGGATGAAGTTAGGCAAAACGGCAGCCAAGAGAGTCAATGGAAGTGTGAAATGTGCTAAGCCAGCTCAGCACGGCTGCAGGCATGCCAGGGGGGATGAGCTTGGGGGGAGAAGCAGGAATGGTGCTGCCGGAGGAACTGGGCAGTCACCCAGTCAAGGGGGATGGCAGGGATAGAGCTGGCCTAGGGCAAACGGCCTGAGAAGGAGCAAGGAGTGGGGTGGAGGAAACAGAGCCTCAAGAAGTGCGTGTTTGCACCTCTAGTTAAGGTAGGTGCCAGGCTGCTGTGTGAGGAGATCTGAAGGAGAAGGTTTTCTGAAAAATCCAGTAATACTATTATGAGAAAAGTGAACGTTCTAACTTTCTCGCTTTGGCGCTGGTGACAATCTCTTACAGATACATACAGTGGCCTGAACAGCTCTAGTAAATGACACTGCTAAAGTATCGTGTTTTCATGCAGGCGTGAAGAAGTTAGCTCGGTTTCTGTTCTGGCATCGCGGTTCATCTGACATGAGCGTCGAATTCGATCCCATATGTCCTGTGAATCTTTTTGGCAGTTTCTGGCTGTGTCCCAAACTTCAGCATGTAGGGTGAAGGTGTTATGATATTTCACTAAGTAAGTAGTGCAGCTCTCCCCAGCATCGCTGCTGCCATCCCCGGAAATCTCTCTCGCTCAGGATGAAGCATCTCGACTTCCTCCTGGCTGCCTTTGGGAACCGGCAGGCAGCTGGGGGTCCCAAGTGAGGAAATTTCATGTAGCATGATAACTTATATGCAGATCATGAGCTCCCTACAGTTAAACTATTAAATGACACATTTCTAGGTTGCATTCACGTTCTTATTTTGTGGTTTTTATTTTTAAGGAGACTGCAGGTGAAATGCTAAGGCTGGGAATATGCCTGAGGCAGGCTGAGAGCTCAGACTTCCCAAAAACACAGCAGGAGGGGATGGTGGAGAGAGCAAAGACTGCTCAGATGTGGCCAGGGAACCAAATAACCATATTTTGTGAGGAACCTTTATTCATTCTCTTTCCTTAAAACTGCTTTATAGGTCTCTGCATATTTATATTGGAAGTTTCTATAAAGGATTGAAACTGTCTTTGAAAGATATTGAGAGCAGCATCATATGGAATTACAGTAACCATTCATTTGTTTTATAAATGTATTTCTCTGCCAAACACAATGAAGAAATTCTAAGGAATTTCTAAGGTCTAGGGGCTGAAAACAGCAAACTAATCTTTCTTCAAGAGTGCTGATCACTGATCCCATGAAATGGCTGGTCTCACTGGCCTTACCAGACAGACTAGACTAGGCGGGGATAAAATGTGCTAAGAGGATGAATTAAAAAAATCATCCCTTTGGGATGCAAATAGTACTGATGCTCTTTCATTGGGATTTGCTCTATCCAAACAGTGACCTGGAGCCAAGGTAGCACAGAGAGAAGTGCTGTGGTTGGCTTTCTTCTCTCTCATCCACCTGCCTCCTCTTTGGGAGGCCTCATCTCCCATACAGTTCAGGAAAGCTGCACAGGGATCTCAGCACAACTTCCAGTCAGGCATGAAATCCCACCACAAACCAACTAAGTAACTTTTCTATTTGATCAGCAGCAAGGGGCATCATATTTCCATTTCCAGAGACACTTGTGTTTGAATTGAAACACAACCATTAGTCAGCAAAGGGAACCAATGCTATCCTAGGCACATTCTTACACTTCATCCACGCCTGAGTGCCTTCCATCATTACCTTCAGCTGTAACTATTTCAGAGTCAGGAAATTTTTCCAACAACTCCAAGAAAACAAAAATCCAAAATAGTGAGTCTTTCTTCTCCTAATATATTTAGCTGCTTCACTATATGTTTGGGATGAACATGAATAAATCTGGACCTCAGTTTACATAAGAGCTGAACCTTGTAACATTGCTGGGCCATCCCTCTCCCTGCTACTGGCTCTGCACACAGAGAAAAAGGGAGGCAATCTAGGGGGGGAGCAGCTGTTACCTGCCATGTCACTGGTGACCAGATCCAGCTTTTGTGGTGTCTCCTTCTCGTTGTTGTAGCTGATGGTAAATTCAGTTGACTGATGTCTGGTAAAGGGCTGCTTGATTTGTTTCCAACAACCTATGAAAAAGAAGTAAAAATAGAAGGCTTATCAGCAAGCTAAATGCTTAGAATCAGAAGACTTACCAAAAAGTTTAATTTTTGGTATATTCATTGCTCTCAATATATTGAAATAGTTAAAAAACATGACTAAAATGGGCTGTTTGTTTAAAAAAAGCCCCCTAAATATGGAGGGTGAAGGAAGAAGTGAATCATCAACTGGGATTTCCAAGTTTATATAAGATTTTCTGGCAAGAAGGGCTCAAACTCTGTAGGTGCCTACAGTGATGCCTTAACAAAGTATATTGATAAAATACCAGCTTTAAGTCAGTTATGTTTTGGCATTGAATATGTGGCAAAAATAATGCTTATAATTTCTCCTTTTTTCAGTAGATTAGGGTGGCTTCCATTTCATTGGTATCTGAGCACCTGCACTCATCAATTAGCTTGTTCTCACAACACCCTTGTAAGACAGAAAAGAAAAAAAAATCCACAGTGTCAAGGACTTGCTGGAGCCTGCACCAGGAGGTCTGTGGAGAGGTGAGTTTGACTCACAGCTTCCTAAGCCCCAAGCCTGGTTCACAAGGGCTTAGGAGCTTGAATAATGAAGCAGACATACAACAAATGAACTGACTGGCTAAGAGGCTATCTTCAATTTCTTGGGATTTGTCCTCATTAGCAAGTGAGAAAGGATTATGATGTGACCTTGAAAAATCATATTAGCAAATATGATGTTAAGTACAAATTAATTTTCTAATGAGGGCGAGCTGCAGTGGGTAACAGCATTCCTTTCACTGACGTCAGCACCTGCTGAGGGATGAAATTTTGGAGCTGAGCAAGAGACTTGTCAAGAGACATATGAAGTGCTTAGTGGTTTGGTTTTTTTATGGAAAACAAGAGTTTCAGAAGCATATTCCTTCACAGAACTGTCTGGCCAGGAAAAACACCCCAGCTACCAAGCTGATGGGAACCCCACTCTAGGAAATGTTATTGAGCAAGACAAAGAAAATATTTCATTGGGGTTTTGCAGTCATCTCCTAAAGCAGTGTGCTTAAGCCAATCCTTCATTCAATACAGTTCACTGTTGTTAGGCTTTATAAACACAGTTTCAACCAGGGAGGGCAGTGAGAAGAAAATATTAAAGCCGTAAAAAATTATTATCCCTTGTTCTCTTAGAGAAAGGCAATCCCCTCTGCTGTGGGGAAAAGAAAAGAAAACGAGCAATTTTCTGCAAAATAGGTATTTTGGAAGTGGGAAGGAAAAGGAGGGCACCTGGGAGCACTCTTACATGCTAACTTATGCACTCTGTATAATAGATCTTTTGTTAATTGCCTTTCTGTCATAGAAACTAAATTATATTGTTTCTCAGGGCACTGTGCTAGGATGACACAAGTGGGACTATCACTTGCTGTTTCCCTGGTATGAAGAGGTGAATTTGAATGAGGAAATGTGGATTCTATTTCACAAGCATTAAATACTTAGTTGCATATACTCCTTCCTGCTGGCCCAGGGGACAGGACAGGACAAAGTGCATGATTCTCCACTAACCTGATTTCTGAGTACTGGATAATCCATAGGAAAGTCCTTTGGCTTCTCGCCTGCGAGGAGAGGAAAGGATTTATGAACATCAGTACTTACAGCATTTCAGCTTCATGCCTTAGCTCCAGCAGAGCCTTTTTACTTAGTGGCTGAGGACAAGGCTTCACTTCGAGTTCCTGGAGGTTGCTGTTGACCAGAACATCAGGCATGCAAACCAGCACTTTGACATTTTCTTTTCCTCCATCTATGTGCAGGTTGTGAATTCTGGTGTTCACATTTCTGGGGCTGGCACTCATCAGTTTGACGTGTCTATGCCTACATGTGTCACTCCAAGCTATGTTTGGGTCTGCTCTTCTCAATTCTTTGGCTATTTTATGGATTTACTGGGAATCCAGGGCAGAGCTGAGTATCACTAGTGATGAAGCAGCATCACCAGAGCATTGCTTACACTTCCAAATCCCCATCTGCTGCCAGAAGAATTTCCTGGTTCAACATGAAAGTGCAGATTCATAGGAATGGGCATCTAGCAGGAAGCACAGTTAGCAGTGCTTCTTCCAGTCTTTTGAGATGAAATAGCTTACTTTTAGCTGCTTACATCAGTGTATGTGTGTGACTCCAGAGCCGAGCTCTGCTTTCAGCCTGCTAGGTTAAGTGCTCTGACTTAAGGGACTGGGAAGCAGAAACACAACAGGAGGGAAATTAAAGAAAATTATCCAGATAGATAGCTCAAATCTTCCCTTCACTGAATTTTTACTTGGCTTTGGTGTGGAAAGTATCCTGTTTTTGATTGCTTTACACCTCAGTGCTTGTCAGTACATGTAGGGTGAAGAGAACAGCTGGTTATGCACAGTTCTGACCTGCTTTACCTTCATTTTTCTCTGACTAGGGGAGGCATGCAGTAAGAAATATAATTTACAAATACAATTTACAAAGACAGGTTAAAGACTACTTAAAAGAAAGACGGAAAAACAGGATCAATTCCCAGCTCCCTGGTAAGGAGGCTCTGGAAAGAAGGCACAGAGTTGGACATGCTAGCTAGGTACCCACAAATGCCTCCTTTGACAAAAAACAGTATCTTACTTGCGTAGGGCTGCGCAGATACAAATTCCAGAGAACAAAAAAAGAAACAGCACGATGAGGATGGGGACAATTATAGCTGTAAGCTTTAAACCTGCATGAGAAAAAAAAGAAGGAATAAAAGTTTAAAAGGTACTCTAAAGCTGGTAATTTTTACTATAACAAAAGGTAGATAATGTTGCAGGAATGCTTCTTGAAGAAAGCATGAAAATGTACAGTTATAAAACAAAAAGACCATTCCTCAGCCATGGTTGGATGCCATGTACCTGTGTGGAAAAATGTTGAAACAGAATAGTTGAATGTACTTTCTCAAGGGTTACACTTGACTTGGCATCTATATGCATCATTACAAAGAGCAGTTCTTTCTTATTACACACTAGATGACTTTTAAAAAGCCACTCATACACACTGTTTGCAGTTGCTTATAAATCTGCTGGAGGAGACTGCAATTTTACATGCCAAGTATCTCATGGGTCGTGCTGAACTGGCTGAAACATTTCAGTCAAAATAGTTCAAAGATTTCCATGAGGGAACATAGGGAAAAACCTGTTTAGCCACTCTTAAATTCAAATATGCTTTAGAGCAGGGATTTGAAAATTAGCAGTGGGCTAGCTCTTGTGTCAGGAGTGTGCCATTCCATTTCTACAGACACTTGCCAGCTGTGAGAATAAGGCAGTATAAGTGTCTGCAGGACATTTACAGTTTAGCAGATGAAATCTCAGTAGATTTCATTTTCAGTGAACATGGATATGGTTTACTCATACTGCTGCACAGATGAACTGAGTTTTTTTTCCTCTTGGCAAGCAGTTTCAGAATTTTGTTTTTTCTTCCACTGATTGCTTCTTACAACCAGTTTTTTCACAGAGGCATTTCTACAACTCTCAGCTACCTAGTGGGTACTAGCATTTGTGGGTCTGGCAATTCCTGCCTGGCTATGAGCCCACCAAACAGTCAGTATACCAAATTTTGTTTGCTTTTTAAAGTCTAAGAAGTTAGCTCCACAACATTAAAGGATCAAGACTGCAAATTCAGGGAGAATTACACAAATTGAGGTTGTCTGAGCCCCCATGAACGCAGGCATTATGGAATAGTGTTTAATTACACAATCAGGCACTACTCTATGCTGCTTTCAGCTGGGAACTCACTCTAGAAGGAGTCATGCTTGTGTGGAGAGATGATAACACTTTTGTGAGATGACTACTTCACATACTAAAAAATTCTAAAACACAGGATGAGAGTGAGGAAGAACTCTCCCAAAAATTGCTGCTGAGTGCTCACTGTATTCCCTTGAGCCACCCACCAAGCATGGCACATCAACCAGTATGACAGGGAAACCAAAGCCCAATGTTTAACACATCAAGGAAAATTAAGGCTTTCAATCTCTTTCTGTGCCTTAACACAAAAAGAACCTATTGCTCCTCCCTCTTCTCTCTGTCATTAATAAAGTCTGAAGGGAAAATAAAAGTTTTGATTTGTGAAAAAGTTTAAAGTTCACTTAGACTGGGCTGAAGGCACGATGCATCCTACAGAAAATGCAGCACTAGGTAGCGTTACCCAAGTTAGTTTCTTCGGAGGGAATGGGCTCTGTAACAGTCCTGTCTTCTTTTCCAAGGGAGGTTTCTGTGCTCTGACTCGGTTTCTGCCACATTGAATGCGTGAACGAGCTGTTAGCTGCAAGAGAGAAGGGGGGGTCAGCGGCACTGGGGCAGCACAGTGGGCTTTAGGGGCACCATGCACTGCTTACCCCATACCTGGCATTATTCTACAGCCCATCAGCTCCAGCTTCAGTGCTATTCTTTGGTTCCAGGTTTGAGGGATAATCCGCACATAGCGAGCCACTATTGGAGGGATGAAGTTGTTGCGCACTACGTCACCGGAGTTGGAGTTGCCTTGGAATACCTGCAACAAAAAGTGCACATATTGTTTGCCCTGTTTTAAAAGTCTCTTTCTTCAAAGTGCTCCTGACATCCAATTTCAAAGATTTTCATCCTAAGACTAACACATTGATAACCTGGGATTCAGCTGCAAGACTTTAGGAATTGAGAGTTCTGGAATGAAATAATCTTTTTAGTTGTGCCAGATGATCACATTTTTCTGTTAGCTCGGTGGAGAAAGATTATCACCATTTCAATACTGTGTAATTTCCAGCTAATGTATGCTGGTTTAATGCTATCATTTTTTATTTAAGAGCACTGCAGCACCCTTTCTTGGAAATGGGGGGGTAGAAACATAAAAACGAAAAACTGAGGTGATCCACTTCTAGACATTTTAGTAAAATGGTCTGTTTTCTATATCAAGCTTGCTCCTGTGGGGACAGGGAGGAAGGCTTTTGGAATTTCTTTTGTTTGGAAGGAAACATGAGTTTTTTAAGGGAAAATGTTTTCAGACAAACTCCACCAGCAGCTCAGCCCTTCACCCGAGGGGTTGCTTCACTTGGCAGAGGGAGATGGTTTGACCATCCTGATGCATTTGGAGCTCAGCTTTGCTGGTGCCATACCAACAGCATCCCTGGCACGGACAAACACTGAGCTGAGCTAAGGACTTGCCCCAACAGCTGCTGTACAGCTCCAATTACTCTGCTTTTTTAAAAGATGGGTGCAGACATACACATGCCTCCCTGTGTGTGTCCCACAGCTTCACCAATCCCTGGATAACTTCCTTGTTTCGACAAGCTCACTATCTACTCTGTAGCCATAAATTACTCTGGTGAAGACAGCCCAAGTCTAGACAAGTTTGAAACTCCTAATCTTTCTTAACAGTGAAAGTTTGCCCTTCAATGTCAAGGCAGCATACGCATTATTGTTTTGTGTTTTCCTACCCTTCCCACTTTCCCTTACCTTTTCTTCATTGCTCAGAATCCCTTTGTAAGTTCTCCATTTTGAGTTGTTATTTTTATAGTTCATTGTAAATGTCTTCACATAAAAGTTAAAATTCATGGATCCAGAACCAGTGGTCTTAATCCCTTTTAAGAAAATGCAAGAAATGTTTTCATTTGCTATGTGCCTGTTTTAAAGGAACATTTTCAAACACAAACACAGAAGCCAAAACAATTTAGAAAACTTGGTCTTCAAGGTGTTTATTTTTCAAACTCTTGAAATTGAGTTTAAAAGTTGGATGAAGAATGGAAATCTGTTTTAAATTGTAAACTTGGAGCAACAGATATTTTTAACAGAGCACAAAAGGCTGAGGGAGCTGGGTCTGTTCAGCCTTGAGGAGAGATGACTGAGGGGACCTCACCAATGTCCATCAGTATCTAAAAGGGGGCATGACAAGAGGATGGAGCCAGGCTGTGGTCAGTGGTGCCCAGCAATAGGACAAGAGGCAAAGGGCAGAAACTGGTGCACAGGAAGTTCCACCTGAACATGAGACAGAACTTCTTTACTGTGCAGGTGGCCAAGCACCGGAACAGGTTGCCCAAAGTGGTGTGGGGTGTTCCTCATGGGAGATATCCAAGAACTACCTGGACACAATCCTGTGCTGTGTGCTTGAGGATCACCCTGCTTGAGGTTGGACCATATGACCCACTGTGGTGACTTCAATTTTCACCCATTCTGTGATTCTGTGACTCCAAAATGAAAATTACTTTTTGATATTATGGTCTGTATCGGCCATCTTTACATCTTTTACAGCAACTGTAATTTACATTTTTACAACTAAACCAGGAGATGGAAACGGAATTTCTTTCACCTAGGCCTTGTTTCAAAGGCTGTGACTTTCATGTTTCTTATTGATTCCAGATCATCCATCCAGACTCTACTGCTCCCTGTGTTAGTATTTTGTCCTGTCAGCATGTTTACAGATCAGATGTGCATGACAGTCGAGTTCAATCCTATATCCCCATAGGAAGATCAGTCTTGTAAATAGCTATGATGTTTTAAATAGGAACATAATATTCCTGAGTGCAGAACATTTCATTACATTTAACAAAAGAAACATTGCCTTAGTGCATTATCAGCTTTTCAGATGCATTCAATTTCTTCTCCAGCTGAAACACCCATTTCTAATAACCAGAGAGGGACATACCTGTTATTCTCTTCTTCTCTCCCAGGTCTATCTCCAGCCATTCACGGTTGCTGCTGTGGTTAGAGGCCCAAGACCATCCCGGGACTTGTAGCCAAGCCTTGTCTGGGGACCACAGGAGTAGTTGCCCAAACTCATTGGTCTCCTCCCAGTAAGAAGATGCAGTAACCTGGCTCTTGGAGAGGAATCCCTCTTCCAGGCTGAGAGATTTGTTGCAGCCTAGGAGTCCCCACACAGACAGGCAGAAGGAGTTATTTTGCATTTTCACAGGATATTTTTATATTAGGCTAGCAACATTTGAAGACCACCCACAACAGCAGAGTCAGACGTTGCTGAAACTAGTGCTAGCCTGATGCTCTCCATTAGCTGTGGTGTTTACCAGTCAATTTGTAGTGTATGATCCAGTACCAGAGTGCTGCAGTCCCAATCCTTTACCAGTCTAACTCCTACATACATGACACCTTCTGACTACATCTGCTATTTTTGCCATTTAGTTTTTTAATCTCTGCACTTTTGTCTCATTCCTGTGAAGACATTTTTTATTTTTAATTTTTTTCCTTCTGAAACATAATATTTATGTTTTGAGACTGGCATTAACTAATTCTGCTGAAAAAACATTTCACAGATGAAGGTACTGAGAGGAATACTTTACTGTAAATATTTCATGATTCCCACCTGCAATTAGGGCTAGGAAAGTTACTCATTAGAGAAACTCCTTGATACTGCTGCCAAGATGTGATATCATGAAGATAATATCTGTGGGTAAGTACTACAAACTCCACCAAAGAACCCACAAAGTCTCTGCACATCAAGGTTCTTCAGAGAAAACAGGCCAGTGGAATATGGTTCAATGAAGTTAAAAATAATTCCTTGGCAGATTCAAAGGCCTATACATGCTCTACAGTTTTCAGTAGAACAGTAAATGATTTTATCTCAAATGAGTGAAATATAATTCAAATGAACGAATGTGAACTTTTCCCCCCTCTTTGCTGTGTTTTATGCAAATTAATGGCTTGACAGATTAAAAGAGGATTTTGCATCTTGGAAAGCCATAAACAAAAACTCCTTCTGTATCACTGCAACATAAATATATTTTCATTTCTCCTATGTTTTCTTTCTCTGCTTGTATGATGAAGATGGAAATTACAAATGTCTGAAGAAAAACTGCTTTCATTTTCTATGGCCTAAAGTACATAAAAATGGGATTATCTGATTGTCATTTTTCATATGCTGGCACCAGAAATGTAACAGCAGAATACTATTTCTGTTTCTCATCTATGTGCATATGACCGCACATATTCTGTTTTTTTTCTAGCTCACTTCACATCCCTTCAATTTTTTTATCCACTTGCCAATTTTAAAAAACTGCTGCCCTAAAATATCCTTCCTAGACACAGCCTGACATTCTCCTGATTATTTTTTTAAAACTTTTCACAGAAAATATTTAAATAGCTAAAAAGAAAGCAATTATTCTTACCATTTGAAGTAAATGTAAACCGCTTATCTGATAGAGAACCACTGTAAGAAAAGAAGAAGGTAATTCAGCCTTTCATGAGGTGCTCACAGGAGTGCCAAGGTAGAGCTTCAGAATCACTGTTCATCCAGCAAAATATCTCTGGCCAGACAGCCACTTTCTCTGCTGGCTGGATACTGACCCCTTTAAGAGCACTCAAGTGTGTCTCTTACTGTGACTGAACTCAGGTAATTTTTTAATGGTTTTGAGCATTTTTTAAATCTTTAAAGTGACTTCTCATTGCATCATGGAATTCCTGCTGCTTGTGAAGATGGAGATGGAGGTGAAGATGAAGACTCCACACTTGATGGAGACTAAACCACACCAGCTCTGGCCATACTTGGGCTACAGGTGTGTCATAGGATGAAAATGGGATGAAAACTACTCCTTGTCTTAACCCGGGTGGGAACCACTTCTGTTATAACCAGGGCCAACATCTCCCATCAGGAATGGTTCTTTATGCTCCATTAACCACATCTATGGCTCCCTTCTTCTTCCTCCTTCTGACATGGACTGTTTTGCTTCAGGGGAAAAGCCATTTCTTGGGCCACTCCACACAGCCCTGCACAATGCAGGACAAGATAAAATCACCACTCTAAGGGAAAGCTGAGTTTTCCTTGGCCTCTCAGGGAGCTGCTTTCTAATTCTCAAGGAGATGCCCCTGAGGTTTCATTCCAGAAGCAATGACTCCAACTGGCTGCCTATTAAAAAGAAGAGCCAGGGTTTTAACGTGAAATTAGTTTGGATTTCTTGAAAACCTGCCCCCTCCGCTGTCACTTCGATTAGCTGCACGCATCACTGGCCCCTTTTGAAAAGCCTTGGCCAGCGTGACTAAGCAGTAAAACAACTTCTGCACTAAGCATGGAGACAGTTCCCTTTCGGGCTGCCTTTTGTTTTTGGCCAGGAAAATTTCCCCCAAGGTACTGTCTTTGGCCTTAGCACAGTGTGCAGAGCTATGTGTTTTGAGAGCACTGCAAATGGGGAATAAGAAAGTAGTCCCATGTCAAGGTCAATAAAAACACTGCCTTTTTTTGTCACTGAGGGAAAACTAATGACTAGAGGCAAACGAAGCCCTTCAGAGCTCTGGGTGGGAGCTGATTTATTTGGGCATGTAGGCAGCTGAGTAGCTAGAAGGGGAAACACAAGCCCTCCCTCCCACATCTTCCCCACAGGCAATCCTCAGGGGCGATCAGATGCACTATGCTCACTTCAAACCAGTTTGACATCACAGCCAAAACAGTTTTTGATTTCTTAGTGAATGCAAAGCAATTAATTTCAAAGAAAAAGAAGAAAATAAATACCTATGTCATCAGTAAAACATATCCAAAACAGCAATCACAGTGCTCCTTGAATACTTAAAATGAAAAAAAAGTCAACCAGAACCCTTTCAAATAGAGGGCTGCAAATTTAGCAAATAGAGGAAGTTAGCATTTCTAAGGTCTACAAAGCTATGAAATCAAGCTGATAAATTTCTGCCGTAATTCACTAAAGAGAACAAGCCAATTCAGTAAGTGGTAATTCATCAGTTTCCTAATGTGACTGCTCGAATTTGTCTCACAGGTTCAACTTTGTCCTTTAAGGAAGGGTATCGCCCCATGTTCATCATTTGCCTGACAACATTCAGGACTCCATCATTTATTTTTTTTGCCAGAGTTGGTCTCAAGCAAACTTTTCCTAAGCAGTGCAGGTTAACCCTGAATCTCATCTCTCACTGTTGACAAGCACACAAATGTCTTGCATTTTCAAAGGCAAAAAATTTCATGTGTGCAGATGTGTAGTCACAGGCCAGGCCATGTCACAACACCCTGTGTATTTGCACTGGGGTATCAGAACTGCCCAATAAATCCAGCCACTCATCTGGGGATGCAGGTCTGCACATGGATCATGGGAAGTGGAAACCTCACAAATGCTGGAGCGTTAACAAACACACTGAGAAATGGAGTGGGCAGGCCAAGGTCAGCTCTTGCAGGGTGGTGGGTGAGCGAGACATAACTTCACGTTAACAACACAGATACTTAACAGCTCGATGCACTCCAGCAGCAGCTTTTGATGAGGTCAATTTCGGCTAAAGTCGCTAAATAATTTGAACCTTTAATACTGAAATCCACTATAAATTAGATTTTAAAAGCTTGAGCAACCTCTTATTTAAGGGCATCTAAAAAGCTCTTAAGGCACTGCTGCTCAAGCACCAATTTTTTCTTGCGGGAACTGGCTCATCTGCAAGATTTTTTTTCAGCATGTAGTTACTGCAGAACTGGGAAGCCCTGCAGCTTTGTAGATACCTCTTATAAAAGATTTTTTAAAGCACAAAATGCATTGGTTCATTTTCTTAGTCAACAGGCCTGCTGTTTGTAGGAGCACTTTTTCATGTTTTTTAACAAAAGCATTTCGCTACATACTCCAGTTTCCCTCTCCTGGGCTCACAGCAAGAGTTCATCTGTTCTAGAGACTGTCCCAGCTGCCAGGTGTGGCAGACACATCCTACGAATCGCTGTGCTGACACTATTTTTCTCAAACTCTGTGCCATCTAGTTTGTAGGCATCCAGACCAGTGTGAGCCTGTGGCTTCCTGTATAACCTGCAGAAAGGTATGGTTGTCTTCTGGGGGCAATTCTGTTCTTTGGAGATGTTCATCATGCTCAAGCAGTGCCTCTGTCTGCCCCTTTAGGCAGGAGAGCTACAGGGGCTCTGCTTCTCCTTAGGGTGCTCTCTCAGGGGCCTCACATTAAATGGGCTAAACCCCCCAGCATGTGTACACTTGCAGTTTTATACACTTCTTTGCCCACTGGGCAAAAAAATACAAATGGGAATCACAACTCCCTTTCATTATAAAATTTAATGTGTTACTGTCCGAGTTACTCCACTGGGATTATCAAGGGTCACAAGCATACGAATGTATGTGAACGGTTCTGTAACATCTTTAGATAAGGTACAAAATATTTAATTTAGGGTTTCATTAAGCTGGCACCTGTGATGGAAAGAATTTGTACTGTTTGTTTTATGGAAGGTCTTGGTGCCTGACCAGAGTTTTCAGTCCTGCTTTGCTTGAGACAAGTTTATATTAATTTTCTTTGGCAAATAACTTTCAAAAAAAATCAAAAATATTTAGGATGTACAGTTCTACCCAGGATGTACATACTACCCAGCTTTGTATACTCTGGTGCCATTGAACATGAAGCATTTCAGTCTGTGCTTAAGTTTAAGCACAGCAACAGAGCACATGAATGCCTTTTTTTTTAATGAATGAAACCATGATTATAAAATTATCAGGAGGGTGTGAGAAATCATGGAGAAAACAGGAAAATAGTATAAAAAATACATATTGCCTTAGCTGTCATAGGCTATGGGATGGAAATTTCCCTTCTTAAAAAAGAATAAAGAAGGCCTCATGTAAAATCCAGATAACATTTGAAAATTAAAAACTATAAACCAACAGGAATGACAGAAGCAGTTGCTGGAAGGTCTTACTTTGCCGGCTAGAGATTAGAGGATTTATTTCTACTTCAACAGCAGTACAATTAAAAGTCAGAAGATAAGTGGTAAATATAACACCCTTACTATAAATATTCTAAAAGAGAAAAACTCTGAACATGTCAAAAGCACAATGTTTAAGAAGTTGTTCATTAAATCCCCTATGGCTCAATGGCACTTTTTACTTACTCATTTTTCCCAGCTTCTTTTAAAATTCAACAGGAATTTATCATTATTTATTAGCAGAAGGATTAAAGCTGTTTGTTGCAGAACATCGTACTCTTATGTATCTGCTAACAAAGTAATTTGCAAATATGTTTTGGAAGGAACAGAAGGAAAAAAAAAAAAAGAAAGAAAATACCACCCTACATAGTATGGAGCCACTGAAAACCTGGAACCTCTTTCTATCTCCATTGCCA